TCTCCTCTGACAAACCACTGCTGCTTCACCAGTTCACTGAACTTCCTCGAAAACAACAAAAACGAACGGCGTCGTTTTCTTTATTTTTGAATTTTTTCCCTTCGCGACCGCGGCCGATCGCGCGGAGCGCCCCGATTCCATGGAAACGAGCGCCATTTTCAAAACTCATTTCGATGCGCTGAGCAATCAGCCCCAGCCACCTTAAAGAGGGACGATAACGACGGTGCAAGTTCCTTAGCCGCTTCTTTGAGTAGGCGGTTTGGAATAGAGTCGAACCCGGGGCTTTTATTGGTATCAACTCCGCGGAGGAGTTTTTCGACCTCAGCTTGGGAAGTCGAGATTTCTTGAAGGGGACTGAGGATGTCAGGGGTGGTGTTGATGGCTGGAGTTTGCTCATCCGCATTGGTCACAGACAGCTTGCTCTGTGAAATGAAGAATTCGTTGAGGGCAGCGGCTTTTTGTGCTGGTGTCGTTGCAGGAGTTGCTTGGCTGACGAGTTCGGGTATGCGTTGTTTTGTAGCTGTAGTTAGGTGCTTCATGAGGCGGTGTAGGGAAGTAGAGGAGGCTGTTGAGTTGTTTACGAAATCCGATTTTGCACGACGCAAGAGGGTGGTGACACGGTTTCTTTGGGCAGTGAACGTGTTCCAGTCGTCGGGCGAGCGTGAGTGAAGGTATATTCTGTGTTTTCTGTGCTTATCCTTGATCTCTTTCAAGAGGCCCTTTGATATCCATGGTCGTGCTGGCACGTTCTTCCTGTCCCAAGGGGGGTGAGTGCGAGTAACTTGGCAGTGTTCTTGGGCGATGCTCAGGACTTTGTCGCACCAGGATCGCCAGAAGGTGTCAACTGGGCATGGGTCGTGTTTGTTTGGATGGTGGTTGAGATTTGTGCGTGAAAGGGCTTCTCGAAGAAGGTGGATAGTGCTGTCTGTCCATGACCAGAATGTGGTGCTTCTGGATCGTCGAGGGGAGTTGTTAATTATGGGGGCAGTTGATTATTGATGTGGCCACTGATAGTAGTGTGATCGGATGCGCCAAACGGTGGAAGTGATTGGATATGAACAGCATTGCTGAGGAGTGAGGAGACAACAAGGTCTAGACATGAGAGAGGTGTTTGTCGGTGGATGTAAGTAGGGAATCTGACATGTTGTGTGAGGCCGTATGTGTGTAGAAGAGTTTGTTGTTGTTGTTGTTGTGGTGTGTACGAGAGAGTCGAAAAGAACACATAATTCCAGAATAATGTTGGAAAAAGATTTGAAAAAGAAAAGAGGCGAAGTGACTTACTGGTGGTGATGAGAATGTTAATACTTGTTTTCGATTGAGCATTGAACTTAGCTGTGAAGGCATGCGTTCCAACGTGTGCCATCTTATTCAATGCATTATCTTCCAAGCACAGATCGATACGCACCACTTTCCCAACAAAGGATAGATCAGTGACTCCATTAAAATCAACATCCAGCGCAAACTGCAGCCTGTCGCCACTCCTTATACGAGTAGCAGAGAGCAACTGCAGTAAGGTTGCGTCATCACCACCGCAGATCGACATGTTAGTCAGACCGGTGGCGGGAGAGCTGACTGCAATGTCCAGCAAGGCAGCTCGCAACCGGGAAGTCCCCTGCGCCGCGGCATTGTACTGCTGCCGAGGAGAGTATAACCGTGGGAGACGGCGGCGAAGAATCCGAAAAGTAACCTTGCAAAGACTTTCATTACGTGGCCCATAATGCAAAGACGATGGCAAGACACCAAGGTATATGTCAATGACCTGAGGCTTGCCAACATCTTCTGGGGTTGAGCCACTCCAGTAATCCAGGTCTGATGCCGTGAGTATATTGTAGTCTGGGGGATGGGTGTTTTTCCTGAAAATCAGCCTTGAGCCGTGAACAGCTGTGCCCGTGTCCCGGTAGAACCATTTGTATAAGTCTGCAACGGACCTTCCATTCAGTTCAATATTGCGCGGTCCCTGTACACTAGCTAGCAATGTGTGACGAGGGGAAGCATCAACCAAGTAAACATTGACATCTGACTGTGGTTTGCACACAACAGGTTCTGTGAAAACACACGAGAAGAGGGCAAGTCAGGATAAGACAGGGGAAATCTCACGCCCTGTCGCATTGCAACTTCTCAGGCAGAGCCAGGATAGGGAGCATGCATGGGGATGGAATCCTTGCACAGGGGTATGGAACCCTTGCACAAGTTATCGGAACCCTAACGCAGGGGCATGGAACCCTTACACAGGGGTATGGTACCCTTACGGAGCGATATGTAGTCCTTACAAAGGGGTATGGAACCCTTACGGAGCGGTATGGAACCCTTACACAGGGTATAGAACCCTTACACAGGGGTATGGAACCCTTACACAGGGTATGGAACCCTTACGGAGCGGTATGTAGTCCTTACACTATGGTATGCATGCCTTACCGTATTCGCGGGATTAGAGCCCCCTCTTGCGTGGTACCCCTGTCTCCGAGAGCCAGTGAACAAATAAAGCCCTCTTTTGAATAGTTTGTTTGTATTTATTTTGATTCGCAAATTCAAACGGGCAGAGAACCCAATAACATGAAAGCGAATATGAAAATTATAATAAAAAAATCAAAAAAAATTCACGGTTCGCGTGAGACTCGGCCAAAGGCCCAGTTTTCCGCATCCGCAGGAACGCCACCACCCTCTTGGATCAAGGCGCAGATGCAGCTCCTAAGCGGTGGGAGGTGAGTAGATCAGACCCACCACAAAGTGGTCAAAGATCGAAATCCCATTCACTGCATCCAAATCCAAATCAAAATCAAAATGAGAATTAAATACTTAGATCTTCAGCGTAGAGTCAGCGGTACATCAGAAGGAGAATGGGTACAACAGAAGAGAACAGAAAAAACAGAAGCTTTCGCTTGTCTTCAGCATCTACAGGGCACAGGTATAGGGGATTTCCTGCGTGCGAAACTGCCGAGCGTGATGGATGGAACGGATGTCGCTGGGGAGGGCGTTCCATTATACAGCACCCTTGCAAGCAAAGCGCCCCCGCTCCGCAACCGAATGGGAAACTGGCACGCCAGGCCCATGGCAGATTGGAGCCGCGTAGGGCCGGATGCAGCGGGGGTTAGCAGGGCTTGCAAGTCTGGACTTGCCAGTGCATAACGACAGCGTCACACCAGGTATGCTAGCTTCTGATTGAAGACTTCTGCCACACAGAACACTGCGGAACACACGGAACACTGCCATGCGCTCCAGCAGGTCGCGGAGGGCGGCCAAAGACAGCACGAGCCCCACTGTTTTGCAGGACCTGTAGATCGTCGAGGTACCTTCTTTGCAGTGAGCTAGAGTACGCGTTTGAGGAATATACAGCAGGTAAGACATGATCAGCGATCTAAAGTAGGTCATGTGTCGCGTCCCCGGCTCACAGTGACCGGACCCCGAAATCACTACGAGCGGCGACTGAATATAGACGTGTGGCCTCACGACAAGCCCAACACAACCCAGGGGCCAACCAATATAGCTGGCTTGGTCCAAGTTCAACCCCACACGATCAACAGACAAAGACTGTTAGTTTTACGTTGTGAGTAGTATCAAATTCGAGCTCAAAGTAAACGAAGACAGAGAGCTGAGACCGAGTCTCGACTGCTAGACTAGACTAGAGTAGACTAGACTAGACTAAAACTGAACTGAAGTAAGAAAGAGAATGAGAGCTTCTTTTATAGGGTGCTTCAGAGATATATGGCGTGATCATTGCGAGGTAATTCCAGGAAATAGCAGAACAAGTCAAACCGGAATGTGCGCAGCCAGTCAGCAGAAATGCAGAATATACGTACGGTGATCATTCGAGAAGAAAGAGAAAGAAAGACATTGAGAGAAGAAAGACCAAATTGGGACGTGGGGAGCCCGCTCACCCACGTTAGAGTACAATGTGAGTATATGAGGGTCACGTTGGGGAGCCTGCTCACCCAACGTGCCATAGTTCAGCGGCTTTTTATGGTAAGTTCTGCTGCATTCTTGGTCTTGCTTGCGTGATACTCTGACCTCTTGCGCGGTGACGGTTTGGTTCTTGCACACGTCTCCTGTCTTGCACTTAGCTCTTGTTATACAATGTCATATTAGTCTTGGCTCTTTGCACGAAGCGCCGAGGCATCGTGGAAACCTGTAGAACGTCGTAGTGACGTGGTTTTGCACAAAGCCTGGAGTCACATTTCCAGGAAGTGAAGCACTTCCAGGAAACGTACAATGCGAGAACCTACCTGACCAGGTTCCGGCCTTGGATCACATGACATGTCATGCCAAGAAGGCATGTCACCTATGTGGGAAAGCGTGTGTCGCTCAACCTACATGCTAAGCACGTGGGACAAGACACTGGCCAAACCACATTGTCCCAAAAGGGCGTGACAGCTCAGCACAGAGCTGCTCACTAGGTAGATCCTGCTGTCACAGGACTATCAGGCAGCAGTAGTCACGTTCAGGGACGTGACACATGCGTGACTGGTGATTCAGGCAGCAGTGCATTCGCCAGAGTGCTCCGATCTTCTGCGACACGCGTGCAGAACACTTGGCAATGTGGGCATGCCAGGACATGCCGGAATCGATTGTGGCACCAAGATAACGAGCACTTAGCACACTAGGCAGTGAAGTGGCATGGCAGACGACCTGTAGATCAGCTGTGTGCTGACGGCCGGCAGGAATTGGCACTAATTGGCTCTTGCCAGCATTGAGGATCAGGCCTCGATCCATCAGCCAGTCTGCAAGGATTGAAACCGAAGCAGATAAGACATCAGATACCTCCTGTGCTGTTCGCCGGCTGCACGCGAGTGCAATGTCGTCCGCGAATTGAACTGACTCGGACTGGCCAACTACAGCGGGGACCTCGCGGGTTTAAAGGCTGAACAGAATGGGGCCCAGCACCAAACCTTGGGGGACACCACTCGTGCAAGCTGATATAGAGCTAGTCCGGGACCCCGACCGACACGTTGAGTGCGACCGGATAGGTAGCTGGCGAACCAGTCTAAGGCAGTACCGGACACCCCGACACTGTGGAGATCCTGCAATAGCTTGGCATTTTGGACTTTATCGAAGGCTTTGGACATGTCTAACGGGCACACACCTGTGAAACCCTGGTCCTTGGCTGTTAGAATGCGGTTTGACATAAGGACTAATGCGTCTTCGGTAGAGTGGCCAAGCCTGAAACCAAACTGGGTTGTAGGTAACGATGATGTTATGTCCAGGAAGGTGATGAGAGTTCCTTCTGAACCAACTTCTCTAGCAGCTTGGAGAGTATGGGTAGAAGGGATACAGGGCGGAAGTTAGTTGGCAGCGATGGATCACCAGATTTATGCAGTGGGATGACATTAGCTAGCCTGAACGCCGAGGGCACATGTCCGCACAACAGCGAGGCATTGAACAGGCTAGTGACAGACGGCGCCAAGACGTCAGAGCAGAGTTTGAAGACTGCCCCTGGTATGTCATCGCTGCCTGTTGCCTTCGCGGGATTAACTTGCTGGAGTAGCTGTTCAACAGCACCGATACTGACATGTGAGAACTTGGGGAGGGAAGTGCGGGGTGGAGGCCCGAGGGGAGCAGACAAATTTTGCGGTCGACAGTCATCAGTAACCACCTTGTGGAAGGCTGAGGCGACATCTTCGATCGTACAAGAGGGTTCTACATGGGGACGGTCTCTACAGGTGACTTTGTTAATGGTACGCCAAAGCTTCTTGGTGTTTCCTGCGTTTGCTGTACATTGTCCCTGGAAGTAAGTGTCTCGCTTCTGTCGGTATGCATTTCTAGCTTTCGCACGGGCGCGCTTGAATGCAGTGTGGAGCACAGCGTTCGCCTTGTCTCCCCGCCACTGCCTATGCAGCCGATTCTTGCGCTGGGTTACCTGGAAGAGGTGCTGATCCGACCAGGGTGGTAGCTGCTTCCGCTTGGCAGTAGAACACTGGAGAGGAGCATGCTTGTCAAGGATCGCCAAGAGTTTGTAGTGCCAAATTGAGCACCTGTCATCAAGTGTAGTATCCGGGGGCCAGGTATCAAGGTGTGCTGCATCAAGGTCGTCTCGGAAATCAGGTATGTGCATGCTACGTATGTTGTGGAATGGCTTCCTCGAGTCACATGCCTGTCTGGGCACTTGAGAGTGCAGGCCCAAGAGGACCTGAACGACATCATGGTCGCTGAGGTCAGACGGCACTACGGCGCAACTCCGGGCATCATCGCAACTTGTGAGAATCAAGTCGATGATCTTGCCATTGGGGCACTGGGGTGTGGTTCTAGTGGCCGTTCTGACCAGGTTTCTGAGGCCATAAGATGCTGCCAAATCTGAGAAGCGCTGATAGTGCAGGGATGTTGTGCCGGCTCAGACATCGACATTGAAGTCTCCAAGCACAGTCATAGATGGTGTCAACAGTGCTGCTTTATGAAGCGCTCCATCATGTCTTTCCCAATAGGAGACTGTTGAGTGGGGCGGGCGGTACATGCAGCCTATGAGATTCTGGTGACCACGTCTGTTTACCGAAATCCAGATGCCTTCAAGGCCGTCTACATGGAGATCAGGACGGTGAGACAGGGAGAGCTTTGATTTGTAGAAAATGCATACTCCTCCCCCCCCCCCCCCCTGGCGGCCATTGCGGTCGCAGCGGACAACACAGTAACCAGGAATGTGGATCTCATTATCAGATATGGTGCTGTTCAGCCACGTCTCGCAAAGGGCAAATGCATCCCACATATTCAGGTTAATAAGGTCTTCTAGCTCTGCAGCATTGTGTCGAAGACTGCAGATGTTTAAGCAACGGACCCGAATCTCACCCAGTAGACGCAGGTGTGGTGCGGGGGTTGCACAATAGCGCGAGGGAAAAATGAATTGGCATTGGGATTAAGAGTACATTTTGGTAATATTAGAGAAGGAAAGGGGACATCCTGACATAAGACTGCACCAAAAACAAAACAGAAAATTTACTTATCTACTTATGAATGGGTAAGCGCGTGGGTTAAGCTCATTGTCCGTGTTTAACTATGAATGAGACTTACAAGCACATGTTGATCTTGCGGTCTAGCGAACTACTGCGACTGCGTGCTGCAATCCTTGCCGTCATGTGGAGCTGCTCAAGCACTGCAGCCTCATTGGCCCTCTGGACCTGTAGGTCGATTTGCTTGGGCATTGCAGGTGTTGTGCGAAATGTGTGTTTGCCAACTGCCAGAACAAACAGATCGGGTGGTGTGTCAGGAGACTCACCTGGTGGTGTGTCAGGAGACTGGTGACTGGTCTTTCCACGGACTGGTGGGTGTTGGGGAGCTGTGGGTGTTGCACTTGGTGCAGGTACCTCCATGAGCACTTCAGATACCCCAGGATAGGGCTCGATCACCGCTCCATCTGCTGGTGCCCCCGCCTGTGTGTCCACCGCTGAGGTTTCCACTATAATGTCTGCTGCCATGGCTGGTTGGTCTGTGTTGCCATGGTTCTCCACCTCGCATTCGCTTTGTGGCGGAGCTTGGGAGCCGTTTATGGCATCAGAATACGAGCATACAGCCGGCTGTTGCACACTTGCTTGCTCATTATTTGGTGGAGATTTTTCGTTCTCCAGTACTGAACGCTTTCCCTTTGGGCAGTGAGTATCCAGTTGGTCTGGTGAATCACACAGTCTGCACGTCTTTGGCTGGTCAGTGTACCGTACAGAGAACACGTGACGACCAGCTGTCCTGATGTACGACGGAATGGATAGTGCATGGCGAGCAAGGTGGAAGCTAAATGGCGTACACCAGACGCCACCTTCAAACCTCGGTGGGTCGTTATGTGCCCATGATGTACCGTACTAGCGCCTTTCCCGTAGGGACCCAAGGCTCTCCAAAGTGCCTCGTCTGATATCCACACTGGGAGGTCAGTGACATGCAATTGCAGTGTAGGCTGTAAAACGTGCGTCACGTGTTCACCATGAGCCATCATCCCTTCACTAACGAGTTTCTCGGCACTATCTATAGACAAAAAGGTCACGATACACGAGCGGTTTCCACTTAGCTGCACAGCTTGAAGGTCAGCATAGCCAAGATCCTCCAGGGTGTCCGCAATATTGACGGTTGGGCGCCAGGCGGGCAATGGAATTTGACAGATGTCCCCCGCAATTGCAGTGAGGAGAGACTCCTCCACGCTGGCACGGAGTCCCCAGCACCATCCATGGCCTCGTCCAACACAGTAACCAGGAATGTGGATCTCATTATCAGATATGGTGCTGTTCAGCCACGTCTCGCAAAGGGCAAATGCATCCCACATATTCAGGTTAATAAGGTCTTCTAGCTCTGCAGCATTGTGTCGAAGACTGCAGATGTTTAAGCAACGGACCCGAATCTCACCCAGTAGACGCAGGTGTGGTGCGGGGGTTGCACAATAGCGCGAGGGAAAAATGAATTGGCATTGGGATTAAGAGTACATTTTGGTAATATTAGAGAAGGAAAGGGGACATCCTGACATAAGACTGCACCAAAAACAAAACAGAAAATTTACTTATCTACTTATGAATGGGTAAGCGCGTGGGTTAAGCTCATTGTCCGTGTTTAACTATGAATGAGACTTACAAGCACATGTTGATCTTGCGGTCTAGCGAACTACTGCGACTGCGTGCTGCAATCCTTGCCGTCATGTGGAGCTGCTCAAGCACTGCAGCCTCATTGGCCCTCTGGACCTGTAGGTCGATTTGCTTGGGCATTGCAGGTGTTGTGCGAAATGTGTGTTTGCCAACTGCCAGAACAAACAGATCGGGTGGTGTGTCAGGAGACTCACCTGGTGGTGTGTCAGGAGACTGGTGACTGGTCTTTCCACGGACTGGTGGGTGTTGGGGAGCTGTGGGTGTTGCACTTGGTGCAGGTACCTCCATGAGCACTTCAGATACCCCAGGATAGGGCTCGATCACCGCTCCATCTGCTGGTGCCCCCGCCTGTGTGTCCACCGCTGAGGTTTCCACTATAATGTCTGCTGCCATGGCTGGTTGGTCTGTGTTGCCATGGTTCTCCACCTCGCATTCGCTTTGTGGCGGAGCTTGGGAGCCGTTTATGGCATCAGAATACGAGCATACAGCCGGCTGTTGCACACTTGCTTGCTCATTATTTGGTGGAGATTTTTCGTTCTCCAGTACTGAACGCTTTCCCTTTGGGCAGTGAGTATCCAGTTGGTCTGGTGAATCACACAGTCTGCACGTCTTTGGCTGGTCAGTGTACCGTACAGAGAACACGTGACGACCAGCTGTCCTGATGTACGACGGAATGGATAGTGCATGGCGAGCAAGGTGGAAGCTAAATGGCGTACACCAGACGCCACCTTCAAACCTCGGTGGGTCGTTATGTGCCCATGATGTACCGTACTAGCGCCTTTCCCGTAGGGACCCAAGGCTCTCCAAAGTGCCTCGTCTGATATCCACACTGGGAGGTCAGTGACATGCAATTGCAGTGTAGGCTGTAAAACGTGCGTCACGTGTTCACCATGAGCCATCATCCCTTCACTAACGAGTTTCTCGGCACTATCTATAGACAAAAAGGTCACGATACACGAACGGTTTCCACTTAGCTGCACAGCTTGAAGGTCAGCATAGCCAAGATCCTCCAGGGTGTCCGCAATATTGACGGTTGGGCGCCAGGCGGGCAATGGAATTTGGCAGATGTCTCCCGCAATTGCTGTGAGGAGAGACTCCTCCACGCTGGCACGGAGTCCCCAGCACCATCCATGGCCTCGTCCAATATGATACAAGGTAACAATCTACTAGACATCATAAACTACAGGTACCCTGAAGACTTGCTCGGAGCTCCAAAAGGTGGTGGCAGTAACTGTTGACAGCTGACGAGCATAGTGCCCCCCCCCCCCCCCCCCGCTGGCACTTCACCAAAGTTAGCTTTGGAGAACTTAGTGCACAGGGTGGCCAGGCATGCCACCTTGGCACAATCGGCGCATGCGCTGGATGGAAAATTCTTTATTTGTGATGTTGAAACATTATGACGTCTCTGGCCAGTCACCATCGTCAGATCGTCAGGTTCTGACGATGGGTGACTGGCCTGAAATGTCATAATTTTTCGACATCACTTATACAGAATGTTCCATCCAGCGCATGTGCCGAGTGTGAATGCCAACTGAATAGAGCAGTTGTCAGTTGAGAAGCCCCCTTTTCTAACATACTCTAGCTTATCAAAATGATCTGGCATTTATTGTTACTTGGTCTTCTGTCAACAATATTGTCGCTAATCTTTCGACAATTTGAACTTAGACATCAATGCGTGCACTTGAGATGATAAAACTTGGTATGATGGAAGGTAAGGTATAGAATGACAACTGGCCATGAGGATTTTATTCTCCAAGGAAGGGTTCATACTGTTTTTTGGTCCTCCTCGTCGCTGCTCTCGGCGCTGGTGACAAATATTTTTTGCTCGGGATTGACTCTCTCGCTTTCCCAAGCTCATCTCTCTTCCTCTCTGCTGCCTGGCTATTTTCTAAAGGGAAGTCAATCCTGACGGTCACTTTCTCTATAGGACTTCGCGTGGGCAGCACGGCTGTCTGTGTGGTTCAAATCAGTCTCTGTTCTTTGCAAGATTTCTTTTGAACTACGACGATGGGTGCAGTGCTTGCAAATCTCCACGATCTGCTGGATACTCCGAGTGTCGAGCTGGAAGTAAGGAAACTGCGATCTCAGCGCGTCGAGTGATCCCTGACGTGAGCGTTGTCGGCCGTTTTGCAAAATGGAACTGATTCCTAGTAGCCGATTACTTTTTTCTGCTCTTGCCTGCGCAGTGTGACAAGATAGTCTATTTCGATGCAGCGCTGTATCAATCCGAGTCACCCACCCGTCACACTCGATATCTAGCTAGACTTTTCAGGTACTAGTAAACTAACCTACTTACCAAAATTGGGATGAAATGGGCTGCCGAGTGAGCATTGGCGACATAGAAACAAAGCTGAAAGATAAGCGACAATATTGCTGACGCGCACCACGTATAAGAATTAATGCAAACAACGCTGGGGGAACTAGTATAAACCAGCATTTTCTCCAGGGAAGAAGGAATCTTACCTGTACACACTACTAGCACTTTGCCCCACATGTAAGCATTTGCCTCGCCCAGGTTTCTTGGGTTGAGGCTATACCCACCGCCAGCAGCTCTTGCCACAAATTTGTCGGTGGCGCCAAGTAGTGAGATAGTCTGCCTTGCAAATTCAACAGCACAGTTGTCCGTTTGAAGATCATGAGACGTTATAAAGAGTCCTGGGCATAGGTGACTCGAAATGGGTTGTCCTGGGTAGGGATGCATTAAGGAGTGGCTGGGCTTCGGGCCGAGCCATGGTATGTAAACGTCGCGCCCATTACAAACCTTCGACAACATTCGCTTCTTGCTTCTGTCCGCTGAGGTGTCACACAGAACAGGACACAATGAGACAATAAGAGTGATATTTTTTTACGATGGTTTATACTATAAACCGGTAATACAAACCTCGGCGGTGCCTCAGTTTGTATTATCGGTTTATATTTCACGTACAAGCGTACTGTTGGGATGTATTATAATTAATTATACCTAGTTGACATTTTTTCCATTATTTCCTGTACTGTAAAACGACAAATTTTCGCGGCAACTAAATTTAGCGTTTTGGCAAACTGGACCAGTTAGCGGCGATTAATTTTTACCTTCCACCGAAAATCAAAGAATTTTATTTTACGAAGCTTCGGAGTGCTGGGCGCAGAGTGCATGAAGAATGAGAGAAGAAATCAAAGAATGAAAGAAGGAATCAAGGAATGTAAGAAGGAGTCCAGGCATCAAAGAGAACCATAAGGTAAGTACTAGTACTGGGAGAAAGCATGGCACGTTCGAAGAGGGATCATCGGAAGACTTTCTCTTCGAACTGCTGAGCCACTGCGATACTCATCGCGACACAATTCAGAAGACTTCTTCGAGCAGTACAACACTAAAATCTACGCAACAGCAAGCTGGCCAAACACTCCAAGAAGTTCTACTACACTCTGCACAACACTGAGACATTCTCCAGGCGATCGTTTTATTCTCTTCTGGTTCAAGTCGCCGTACTTCAACGACAACTAATGTTTCAATGGTTACTTGCAAGAATGGTGTTGGTACGTAACCCGTCGTTGCAACAGCTGCGCGCTTTGGTTGGACATAGCCGGCCGTGCAAGCATCGATCAGCGCTGTGAATGTACAGTCAGTGCAGTGAGTGATGCATGCGCATGTACGAGTACGAGTCGTACTTTACAGATCTGTTGCAAAACGATCGATCGTACAAATTAATTTCGCGTGTCAAACTTTCGCGATTCGACCCTGCTCGCGAAAGTCGCGAAAGTTAATCTCTCGCGAAAGTTTGTCGTTTTACAGTAGTTGCTGCCCCTGCCCCCCCCCCCTCCTGCCCCTGCCCCCCCCCCCCCCCCACTCCTGCCTTTGCCCCCCCACTCCTGCCCCTGCCCCCCCCCCACTCCTTCCCCTGCCCCCCCCCCACTCCTGCCCCTGCCCCCCCCCCCCCACTCCTGCCCCTGCCCCCCCACTCCTGCCCCCCCCACTCCTGCCCCTGCCCCCCCACTCCTGCCATTCCATATGTCTCATCGCTTTTTAGCCATTAAATGGTGTGTGGTTTTCGTAAAAAAAAAGAAAAGAAAAGAAACTTCCCCATGATGGGGAGGGAACGAAATCGTTCAGTTTCTAAATTTGTTTTACTTGACTGTGTGGATTGTGTTGATGCTTATACTTTCCTTTCGAAATTGGATAGGCCTCAAATTTCTCCTTAGAATTAACAAGAGAGCTTGGAAGCTCAGGGCCCAAAGCTATGCTGTTTTGCCTTGATGACCTAGGCAAAAAAGCATAGGGATAGTATAATTTTTTTTAAAGACATAATCTGGGATTCGAGCCCGCACTATCGCCCTGTATCAGGCATGCATCCCCCGATACACTTCGCATACATACTAATCCTTCCAAGTTGCTTCACGTTATGATCTTGCATTTGAAAGCCCTACTTTGAATATCGTGGCCAGCTGTTTGTGGCCAGCCGTCTTTGATGGTACGGTACGGGACAGGTACGATCAAGGGTAATACCGTCTACCACCTTGATGACCTAGGCAAAAAAGCATAGGGACGTTATAAATTTTCAATTCCCCTTTTTTTAAGGCATGACCTGGGATTCGAACCCGCGCTATTGCCCTACATGCATTCCCCCATACACTTCGCATTCATACTCATTCTTTCAAGTTGCTTCACGTTATGATCTTGCATTTGAAAGCCCTATTTGAATATTGTGGCCTGCTGTTTGAGGCCAGCTGTCTTTGATGGTACGGTACCGGACAGATACGGGATAGCGCCAGGCGTTACACAAACAAACAAACAAACAAACAAATACCAAATTAAAGCTGTGTGGACCCTGGCTAGCGCCAGACATTATTGAAGTAACGTCTTCTGCATAGCTACGGTTATACTGTAAAATGACAAACTTTCGTGAGCGATTGACTTTCGCGACTTTCGAGAGCAGGGCCGAATTGCGAAAGTTTGACACGCGGATAAGAAATTTGTACAATCATGTACTACGCGATGCGTCGATGATCGATCGTGTACTGTCTGTACATGCACTGCACAGACTGTGGACTAGCGCTGATCCATGCTTGCACGGTTACAGTCCAAAGCGCGCAGCTGTTGAAAGTAACGTACCAACACCAGTCTTCCTAGTTGTCGTTGGAGTACGGCGACTTGAACCAGAATTGCAGAAGAGAATAAAACGATCGACTGGAAAATGTCTCAGTGTTGTGGAGAGTGTTGTTCAACTTGTTGGAGTGTTTGGCCAGCTTGCTGTTGCATAGATTTTAGTGTTGTACTGCTCGAAGTAGTCTTCTGAATTTTATCGCCATTAGTATTGCAGTGGCTCAGCAGGTCGAAGAGAAGGCCTTCTGATGATCCCTCTTCGAAAACACCATCCTTTCTTGCAGTACTCACCTTATGATTATCTTCGATTCCTTGATTCATTCTTTTATTCTTTGATTACTTCTCTCATTCTTCTTGCCCTCTGCGTCCCAGCACTCTGAGACTTCGTAAAACATAACTCTTTAAGATTTTCAGTGGAAGGTAAAAATCGCTACAATTAATCGCCGCTAACTGGTCCAGTTTGCCAAAACGCTAAATAAAGCCGCCGCAAAAGTTTGGCGGTTTACAGTCATAAACTTTTAAACAGTTGTCTCAGTGGAGGAGGGGGGGGGGGGCAAATGGACCCCAAGAGTATGTTTTGGGGAAACCCCTATTTCCTATATCACATCCTCCTGAAATTCCAGGTGTTGATCTACTACAGGTACTAGATTTCCAAGGGAATCAAATTGTCTGGGTTAGAATTTCAGGATTGTTTACAATTTTCACCGGGAGAGTCCTCACCAAATTCTAGTGCATGGTCGCACATTTCCTAGGTCATTTTCTTTGCTATAATCATTGGCTTGTTAAAAAAAAAGACACGCCAGTCGCCTGGAGGCCAGTAGTGGTAGAAGCATAGATAATGAGACACAGAAATTCTGTGCATTAAAAGTTCATATCATGACAGGGCTACAGAGGAGTCATGCCATTCTCATTCCGATCTACCAGAGGAAATAGCTTCCACCGAAACCTGTAGATCCGAAGCGAACACCCCTTTATTAATGAACTTTCATAGTACGGTTATGTAGAATGGCATTCGGCGCAAAGTGTGACTGGACATTAACGACTTACTGTAACAGACTATTTTGGCGGTGTCGTCCATCGATGCCACATGTGTGTCTCCATGCGAGCTGCGTCGCATCAAAGTGCCGTTATCGTGTTTGACCCAAACCATCTCTTCCGAGCTCGCATTGCTCAGCAACGAGACGTATACGAAATTGTGCAGGCACTGCGGTGCAGTAGTCACTGATGGCAGCGCTAGACCGAGGTCAGAGCAGGCACTCTGCGCGTATGTATAGCTTGCCCGAGTCGTAGCGATTCCGTAATTGGGCGGCACTGTGAAGAAGTCATTGGCTTCACAATCATTACTCAATGGTACCCTGTCGTGACCGCCAAACCACACTGGACAGAAGAAAGAAGATAACGAGTGCATGGTTAGATATCGCTGGCCAAACCCTTTGCTCTTGTACGGCCATACAAGGGTAGTCTGCATGCTGGCAGAGGGTTTTGCGAGCAAACAAAGAAAATGTTGTACATGCTGCTGGGATTCTGACACTAGTTGTACATACTGCTGAATCGTGGTACACGCTGCTGCGCTTTTGCAACAATGGTACACACTTGCATTTTAGTCACCCGCTTTGTACACACTTCCAGCAATAGTCCCCATTGGGAGGCATTCGTCAGATGTCCAGTCGTCTTCTCAAAGGAAGTGCAAAGTACATGTAGTATTCTCTCCAACGAAACAGTTGGCCTTTTGTGGCGTGGTGCGGTCGCGAGAGGGGTATATTGTGTCCTTAGCTAGACGACAGTTGGCACCCAGCTATTCAGCTTACCATCCACAACCCTGAGTTCGTCTACGTGCCAGGGTTTGTTTTGTCTCCTCTCCGCACCCTCGCCATGGCCCAGTTACTTTTGTCTCAAGAGGGTCCAAACCACTCATAAGACCTCCTACTCAGGTGAGCATGCCTTTGTAATTGTCTGCTCTGCGCCGTAGGTTGCCTCTACTTTGTACTCGATTTCAAATTTTTCAATTTTTTGTGTCCGGTCCCGCCGTATAGTAAATAAGCAGAACCTTGTTCACGGCTGTTAGGCTGTGTTTACATGAGAAATTTCAAACCCGGGTTGAAAGTCTGAGCGATCGACAAAATAGGTGAGCGTTTACATGAAGACAGTTGACCCGGGTCAAATACTGATATGCCGCCAAAAGTCCACTTCTAGAGTCCTGTATGGTCACGTGAATCCGTACATTTTGTACGATTTTCTTGACCCGGGTTGATTTCAACCCTCCCCCCAAGGGGAGGGTTGAAAGGGCGAAATTTCAACTCGGGTCAAGCGCAATGCGTCTTCAGCCGTTCTAAGGTCACCAAACCAAAAGTCTCCAAACCACGCTGGTAACCGATGGGTATTCAATGTTAACATCTTCAGGAAGACTTCAGCCGTTTCCCGAGAGTTTGGACGTCGTTGCCGTTATTTTCCACGGTGTTCTTCTTCCTCCTGTCTGGAGCTGCAATTGCATCCTGGAATTATTAGAAAGGTATTTCGTGAAAGTCTCCAAACCACGCTGGTAACCGATGGGTATTCAATGTTAACATCTTCAGGAAGACTTCAGCCGTTTCCCGAGAGTTTGGACGTCGTTGCCGTTATTTTCCACGGTGTTCTTCTTCCTCCTGTCTGGAGCTGCAATTGCATCCTGGAATTATTAGAAAGGTATTTCGTGCGGGCTGGGGGGGGGGGGTCCAACAAGCAAAAACTGCCATCGCTGTAGGACAACTGGTAACTTTCACCCTTCAAGGAGGTAGAGCAAGGAATTTTTGGTATTTTGTACTTTATAAAGGATTTTCAAAAGGCTTTGGGCCTGTCGAGGGGAACTCCTGCAAAAAGAATGAAATGACAACTTTATGTAGAGGGAGCAGTTAATCGAGGATAGGCTAAGGAAATAGATCGAGGCATACAAAATCTGGTAATTTTAAAAGGAGTTGGGATACCGTCAGTGTAATGAATATATCGGCGAAAATGCTGATAGAGAGAATGCTTGAAATCGGGGAGGCTGTTTATAGATGTAAGAGAAGGTGGTAGGCAATTCCATAGCATTGCAGCTTTGTTGGAAAAGAGGGAAGAAAAACGCACACCGTGATAATTGATGTTAAAAGTTTGTTTGGTCTTCTTGGACTTGGAGACAGTGAAAGGTGAAAATGTTGGAGATGTTCTGGAGATATATGTATAAGTTTAAATAGAGTAGCAAGAGCTGATACTTGTCTGCGAAAGTGCAGGGACTCTAAGTCACAAAGGGCATTTAACTGGGATTTCGTTTCGCATCTATCAACATTGACTTTTTTACGTAGCAAATACTTCCTAGCTACTCTGGCTTGTAAAATATTTTTAAAAACGCTCCAGCTCAGCTTTGGTGATGGCATAGGACCAGGCCGAGGTGGCGTGTTCCAGGGCAGGTCGGAAAAACCTTTATATAGAAGTAGAAGGGCTGTGGCGGCAAGATGCCGTCCCATGAAGCATAGCAGATAACCACGACGTTGGAAGGTTTTCAGGATGGTCTGAAGGTGGATTGTGTTGGACTGGTCGGGTGGTAAATACACTCCAAGGCGCTTTGCAGCTTCAACGATGGTGATAGGTTGGGAAGAGAGCTGGATGGTATGGTATTGGTATAGTATTTGTATTTGAATTCACCAATCGAACAGGCATATCTGCCTTCTTGCCGGGATGGCCAGAGCCAACCACAGCTCCTACTGATTGATGAATATGATAATGTGAAGCAAAAAAAGTGAATAGGAGGAGACAATAACTTTATTAAGGCGATTAATAGTATAAGGGAAGCGGACATTACGAAATGATGAGTGAGAATACATGTATCAAAACCTCGTCTCGCCTATGTCTACCTCGCCTCGTTCAAGCCATTCAGGTCAAATTTATTTTTGGTTTATTTATTTCGTGAATTTTTTTGTAGTGTGTGTGTGTGCGTGTGTGTTCATAAAATATTACCAAATTAGAGGTCCGATCATGGTGAGCCACGCTCTAATTTTGGTGTTTAGCAGAAGTGCAACTACGCTATTTTAGCCATGCAGACAGTATCAGTAGGTTCCTCGTCACATCTAGTTTCTTATCTTTAGACTTAGAGAAGTACAGGAACAATAAGTATAACTGTAATGCATGATCTAGTAAACACTTTTGTGAGATCCGTGCATGCGTGCAATATGTGTGTGTGTGTGTGTGTGTGTGTGTGTGTGTGTGTTTTTCTCCCTCAGTCATTTTTTGTCTTTGTCTCTCTTTTTTCTATCTTTCTTTTTCTCGATTATTGTTTCCATCATCGTGAAATGAGGGTTGTTGAATTGCAGCCGTGTGCCTTTGGCACTGTACTGAGGACCTGAGGAGAGTTGATTGTTACTTCAACTCAGCAATGCAGCCATCATTAGCTCTCTTTGTTCTAATTATTGGGAGGATATACTGGCATTGCAATCAAGTAAAGATTAGGCAAACCTCGATAATCTCCGAAAATATTTTCTCCAAATGGAAAGACAATCTTTGTGAGTTCGTGATTTGCATTTGCGTGCATACATGAGCAAGTGACGGACCACAGCACGTGCGCGGTTACCATGCCATTTCGAACTGACTCCATCTTTCTAATATGCTTCTTCTTGACAGCCGTGTGTTCCCTTGTGCTTGAGTCTGATGTGCAGTCTTGTTGCTCATTGTACAGGTATTGGTTAGCCCAGTTGTGTTGTTTGTTCCCATGTCGCTCTGATGTCGCTCTGACTACACTGTACTGTCCTGTTGTGTGCACGGAATTTGCACGCTCCTTTTCGCTCTCCGCTTTCCAATCTGGAACTTGGTTTCGCATGCTCATCGTGACTTCAGCATGGGTAACTTTGCTCTAATTCTGTTTTTTTTTGCCCTGTCCGTTGCACTGGTGGTCGTCATGGAGTTGCTGCCTTGTAGTACTCCGGTATCGAAACTGTGTCGCTAGATTTGTTTAGATGTCCCCATCGACCTACTCGATGTGGTGCCCCTCACACGTTCCATATTTTCTTGTTTCGAGTTCCTACCTTGCACTTTTCTCCATGTTCTGCGTCGGGCATTGTCGTGCTCGGCATGCACTGCCGAAAACGTAGGAAAGCTGCTAGATTCGGGTTTGGTGGGAGGATAAATCCAGGTTGAACTATTAGCGCCTTGTTCTATAATGTGTCTCGGCATGCGGGTCTCTCCAGATAACCTGGGGGGGGGGGGGGGGGGCGTTCGATCATGGTGAACCGCTGTCTGCCTGGTGGGCTGGAGGTAGGCCTGTCCGGATTGCACATTTTACGCATTTCAGGGTTTTTTCAGCTTTTTTTTGCATTTTGGGTTTTTCAGCATTTTTCAACATTTTGAGCATTTTTGCAACAAAAGGATCGATTCCTTTCGACTATCGAAAACAACCACATCCTTTGCACACGCTTCCTCCACGTGCACTTGGAACGACAAGGGATATACGTTTTACGCCATTTTGGTTGTCATGGTAACGGCAGCATAATTTTCGCATTTTCGGTGAAATAATGATTTTTTTTAAAGAGTTTTAGCACTTTGGGTAAAATTCCAAAAATAAACATTTCCATTTTGACCCTTCAAAAAACGAATAATCCGGACAGGGTTAGCTGGAGGGATCCTGTGCTCATTTGTATCAGTTCGTCTTGGGGTAGTCCAGCACTTCTCAAACACACCTTATTTTCTGGATTACAACTTGCAAGCCGCACTTTATGTATGCCATGTCTGCGCGGCATTGGTGCATGTGTGTGTGTGTGTGTGTGTGTGTGTGTGTGTGTGTGTGTGTGTGTGTTACTATATTGTGAAAAGCATTCTTCATCCTTGTCGCGAACGTCGCGATGAAATACATGTACATGAATTCGGAATAACCAATTTATATTTGCATTACATGACGATGATTTTGTACTCTCTTGTTTGCTTACGTTGTGGACGATTCCACGCTTGGGTTAGCCGAAGTCTAGTTCCCCATCGTCCTTTCTAGTGATTTATTTCATTCTACTTCGAAGTAGCTTCGAAGCAATCCTTCGTTTCTCTATTCTTTGCATTTTGTTCACAAACAAATTCTTCGTTATGTTTTCGTCCCGTGAGTATTTTCGCGCTCTTGATTTGTTTTGCTCACGCGTGACTTTCCGGTTCCTTTCCTTTCCTTTTGTTATGCATGACCATGATGACGTATTGGTATGACGTTTATGTGTACGTGACCACGTGACTGCGCGTTCACTAACTACATGACTGTACAGACAGTAGGCTAGTGCATTTTAGCGATTCGCTCTCCTTGCTGTTCACTTCTTCTCCATTTCTGTTTTGTCGCTGCACTAGTTCCTTTTTGTTACCATGCCACATAAATGAAGGTCGTGGTCGCCATTTTTATG